ATAAGAAATAGAAATACTTGTTCAAGCATCAAAGAATAGAAACTTTCTATCTCCTATGGTCTGCTTCCCTCAGGTAGAAAGGAAAAACGACTCACGGCTTCACATGCAGTAATGAACGCTTTCTGCAAATAGGCTAAGTGCCACGGTTAGTCAACTGAAAAGGCAGGTGCATCTCCAGCAATCTAGAATGATTGTCTTTATCTTGGGTTCTCTGTGGTATTAATCAATTTCCTCTAAAATTCTAATCTCTCCAAATTTGTCAAAATCAACTGCTTTGAAGTTAAAAAAGAAACTGAAAATGTTCTCCTTGTTCCCATAGCAAATCTATGCTGCATGACATAACTTATTAATGTATCACATTAACACTTCATAATATATTCATGTTTGCAAGTAGGATGTTTAATCATATAAATTCCTGTCTATTCAGGTTCTGTTTATAGTAAAACAAAAATGAGAACAGCAATCACAATGAGCTTATGCAATACTGTTAATATAATGACTTTGTTACTCTATTATTTATTATTTATTGAGTTCTGGATGTTCTGATAATTAAAGTATGATATATAAAAATAGCAAAACTTCAGCTAAAACTCTAATCTCTTCATGCTCCAGTGTTGATGTTTCTCAGGGTTAAGGCCTATTTCGATAATGTATTGAGGAAAAATAGTGAGTCTGCCGCAGATTTGGTGGTGATATTAGGAAAAAAAACCAGGAAATTATTTTCCTCATTTCCCTAGCTCCCAAACGATTTTTTCCTATTTTTAATTTTTCTCTCAAGGCCAGATCCAGGTTTTGTAGGACCTTAAGTTCACACAATTTTGGAATCCTGCTTGAAGAAGAATACTGTATCTATCTGCTGAGGCTTCCATAACAAAGTATTACAGACAGGATGGCTTAAAGAAAATAAATTTTTCTTATAGTTTTGGAGGCTGGAAGTCCAAGATCAAGGTAGGGATGGTGTCTGGCAAGACCTGTTCCTGGCCTGTGCACAGTTACCTCTGCCTCTGTGTCCTTGCGTGGTATTTCCTATGTGCCTGTGCTCTTTGGCATCTGTCCCTTCTCTTAACAAGAAGCCAGTTGTGGCAGAACAGGGGACCACATGTATGATCTTATCTCACCTTCATCACCTTCCTATGTGATTGGGCTTAGGGCTTGAGCCTACCGATTTTAGGAGGGAAGAGGGGACACAATTCAGCCCACAATAAATACAAACTCATGGACACAAAAGTGGGTTCGCAAAAACAAAAGTGAATATTTATTCAAAATGAGAAAATACATTAGAACAAATTGCTGGAGGCTTGGAGTTTTAATGCCATTCTGCTGAGATCTCTTTAAGTAGCTGTGTTAGTCTGTCTTGTGTTGTTATAAAGAAGTACCTGAGGCTGGGTAATTTATAACGAAAATTGGTTTATTTTGGCTTACGGGTTTGTAGACTGTATAAAAAGTGCAGCATCAGCAGGTTTCTGGTGCAGGCTCGGGAAACTTTCAGTCATGAGAGAAGGGGAGCCCACGTGCCTCGTGGCAAGAGGGAGAGCAAGAGTGAGAATAGGGAGGTCCAAGACTCTTAAGAAAACAAGATCTTGGCTGAACTAATTGCCATGGGGAGGGCACCAAGTCATTCAAGAAGGATCTGCCTCTGTGATCTAAACGCTTCTCACTGGACCCCACCTCTAACACTGGGGATCACATTTCAACGGGCACTATAGAGGGACAAGCGTCCCTACCGTTTCAGTAGTTTTGTGGAAATACTTATTTAGAAATGCTGCCCGAATGTGAATCGTCCTTCTCCTCTCCTGGAAACTCCACAAGCGACAGTCAGAGGGACTGGTGCTGATGGGATCCCTGAGGCTGAAGCTGTTTGTTCTTTGGTAAATCCTCTTCCGCCTGTTAGAGATGCGCTAGTCTCTAATTTAGGGGAAGTAGAGAGGATAAAAAAAAAAGAAAATATAAGGGGAAAGGAATTAGGGAAAGTGGGACTGGGGGCTTGTATCTGTTCCTTAGCTGGTACCATTTCTCTAGCTCCTCCTACCTCATCACTGAAGTTCTGACTTTGACCAGTGGTGAACCCTAAAAGGGCCCACGACTGCCGTTTCCATGTTACCACTAATAAGAAGAATGGGGGTTAACTTGGTTGGTACAGGAGGCACGTTTTATTTTTATTTGCTTTCATGTGTGACCAAAGATCCCTATTTGGTGCCAGAACTCTTCAAAGCAGCCCAAATTGTGTTTTTTTACATGATTCCTATTTGGTGCCAGAACTCTTCAAAGCAGCTCGAATTGTGCTTTTTTTACATAATGCCAGATACTGTTCTCATTAGAACCAGGTAAAACTGGGACACCCCTGAAGGAATTGGCTGACTGGCAGATTTTTACTAGAGCCACAATAATTAATGATACCACTGTGGAAAATAATTGACATTCTTTCACTTTTTCTTATAATTATCTTCTGACTTTTATGTATTTCTTACCTAAACTACATCTGAGGAGCTAGTAAACTACTTTGCCCAAATTTTTTGGTTAATTTACTTTATTTTCTTTCAGTAAATTGACCAGTTGCTGCATGAAAATTATCAAACTATTAAGTGGTTTTGCTGTCCAGACTTAATGTATTTGTTTTCACTCAATATAAGTTCTTTTTGATGTAAGAGGTCAGAACCCAATGCCAGAAAGTACATTGGCTTCTGGAATCTAAAGAGAGATTGGCTTATGCAGAAAGTGCATTGGCTTCTGGAATCTAAAGAGAGATTGGAGGACACCAGGCATTTCCCTTATCCTCCAGGGAAAAGGTGGAGCTAAAGTGGGGCACACACGTTGCCAACCCAACAGACTCTTGGTGCTTGTTATTTCCACTGCTCTCTATAGCCATCCTGAGAAACAATTTTTTAAATGACTAGAATATTAGATCTTAAGAATTCAACTGAGAGTGAGAAGGAGAGAGAGAGAGATTCATCCTGGTGATTTTTATGTTTCAAAAAACAAACCTACTAGTAAAGTATGTAGCCCAATTTAAGTCTTGTGTCTGTCTTTAGAACAATTGATTGTGATACTAGGGGTTGAGACACTAAGATTATTCTATCCTTTATGGGATGTCAACTCTTGATGAAACAACTGTGTTTAGGGTGACAGTTTCGTGCAAGAATATGATAGAAAGGAGGCCGGGTGCGTGTGTCAGTATCATGGAGAGAGGAAGATAAATCATGAAAATAACAGTGAGGATGCTGGACAGATGATCACATAAATGTCTACCTCACTTTTTTCATTGATATTATAATAATATTTCACCTTTTATTTTCAGTTTGAACTTACTTTCCTAGTAATTTTTTTCAGATAAATGCATGTTAGATTCAGAATACTTTTTCAGACAGCTTAGGATTTTAGTAGAAAGATATTTTTAAAACATAAGAAGTTTCTTTGGCTGGTAAAGAGTAATTAATAGTACATTTATTAAAATGATGACCATGTAACTTCCAAGTTATTTTATCCCATTCTGCAAAACTGCTCTCTTAGCTGTATTGTGTTCAGGCTATTGGTTTCAGTTTTCAGATTGGCTTGATGAATAAAAGAGAATGTGAGATAAATGCCTTATTTCCCATTACTAAAAAGAAGAATTTCTGTATGACCTTCTTTTTATTGCATCCTTGAGTTCCAGAGAAAAGTAATGGCAACTTATTATAGAATCTTTTACAATTTGAAAGTTAATTTTTGTGTTTATGTAGAACATATTTACAAGGCATATTGATAATATCCAGGTAAACTAAGACATGTCAGCATCGCCTTTATTTGGTAAAATGCTCACATTTCCCATCAACTTCACTCAGACACTGATTTCTAACATATATTAAGACTAAACATGCATAAACAAACATGTCAATTTGGGAGTTACTTTTAAGTTGCATAATATATTCCAGAATCTCATAGAAAGAAGCAGTAGGTCAGTTGAGAACTGGAATAAACTAACTTTTCAAGGAAAATGCATGTTATCCTTTGCGGATGAATATTCATCAAGAATTGGTCACTTCTTTCTTTCTTTTCCTGTTTTGTTAAAAAAAGTAGTTAAGAAAATCGAATTAGAGGGTACAAGCACAGCTCTGTTACGTGAATATATTGCATATTACAATCTGGGCTTCTAGTGTAGCCAGCACCCAAACAGTGTACATTGTATCCAACAGGTAATTTTCAGCTCTCACCCCGTTTGCCACTCTCCCACCTTTTAGAATCTCCGGTGTCTACTATTCCACTCTGTGTGTCCATGTGTACCCATTAGTTAGCTCCCACTTATAAGTGAGTAGATGCAGTACTTGGATTTGCTTCTGAGTTATTTCGCTTAGGATAATGCCTCCAGTTCCATCTATGTTGGTGCAAAAGACGTACTTTCATTCTTTATTATGACTTAGTGTGTTTGTGGGTATGATTCCTATCACCTATTGATGAACACTTTGGTTGATTATACGTTGTTGTGAATAGTGATACAAATACAGGTATCTTTTCATATAATGATTTGTTTTCCTTTGGATAAATAACCAGTAGTGACATCACTAGTTCGAATGGGGTAGTTCTATTTTTAGCTCTTTGAGACATGTCCATACTATTTTTCATAAATGTTGTACTAATTTACATTCCTACCAACAATGTATAAGTATTTCCTTTTCTATGCATCTTGCAAATGTATGTTTTTAGACTTCTTAGTAATAGTCATTTTGACTAATGTGATATGGTATCTCACGGTGATTGTAATTTTCATTTCTTCAACAATTAGTGATGTTGAGCACTTTTTCGTAGGTTGCCCACTTTATATGTGCTTCTGAGAAATGTTTGTTCATGTTTTTGCCCACATTTTGATGGGGTTATTTGTGTTGTTTTGTTTTGTTTTTCTTGTTGTTTGAGTTCCTTATAGATTCTGGATATTAGTACTTTGTCAAGTACATAGTTGCTAATATTTTCTCCCATTATGCAAGTTGTCTGTTTACTCTTCTTGATTATTTCTGCTTCTTTTTTTAAATAGCTCTGCAAAAGCTGGGCTTCAAAAAATTGGATTAAGATTCAGTATTGTTCCCCTCCATGGAAATCTTTAGTAAAAGGTGAAAGATTTATATGATTTGAAGAGAAACCAGAGTATTTCTTGTTGACTATTTCTTTTGCTATTCAGAAGCTTTTAATCCCATTTGTCTTTTTTAATTTTTGTTGCATTTGCGTTTGAGGTTTTAGTCATAAATTTCTTGCTTAGGCCAATGACCTAAAGAGTCTTTCCTAAGTTTTCTTCCAGGACTTTTATATTTTCAGGTCTACATTTAAGCTTTTGATCTATCTTGGCTAATTTTTTATACAGTGAGAGATATGGGTGCAGTTTTATTCTTCTGCATTTAATTATCTAATTTTCTCAGGATCATTTATTGAATAGAGTATACTTTCTCCAGTGTATACTTTTTTCAACTTCGTTGAATATCAGTTGGTTATAATCATATGGCTTTATTTCTGATTCTGTATTCTGTTCCATTGATTTATGTGTCTATTTTTATACCAGTACTATGCTGTTTGGTTACTATCTTCTCATAGTATAATTTGAAGTCAAGTAATATGATGTCTCCTGCTTTGTTCTTTATGCTTGGAATTGCTCTATTTGAGCTCTGTGGCTTGTCTCTTCATTTAGGTGATTGCCACCTTTGCTGTGCAGAAGCTTTTTAACTCGATGTCATCCCATTTGTCCATTTTTGCTTTGGTCGTCTGTGCTTGTGGGGTATTATTCACGAAATGTTTGCCCATATCAATGTCCTGAAGAGCTCCTTCAAAGTTTTTTTTGTAGTAGTTTTATAGTTTGAGGTCTTAGATTTAAGCCTTGAATCCATTTAGGGCAAAAGATAGGAGTTAAATCTCATTTTTCTGTAGATGAATATCTAGTTTTTCCAGCACCATTTATTGAAGAGAGTGTCTTTTCCCCAGTGTTGTCACTCAGTACATTTGTCAAAATGAGTTCACTGTAGGTGTGTGTATTTGTTTCTGCATTTCCTATTCTGTTCCATTGGTCTATGTGTCTGTTTTTATACCAGTACCATGGTATTTTGTTACTATAACACTGTAGTATAATTTGAAGTCAGATATTGTTATTACCCCAGGGTTTATTTTCCTCTTTTTAATCAGGATATCTTGAGATATATTGGGTAGTATGTGGTTATATATAAATTTGGGGATTTTTTTTTCTATTTCTGAGAATGCCATTGGTATTTTGATAGGGATGGAAGTGAGTCTGTAAATGCTTTGAGTAGTATAAGCGTTTTAGCAATAATGATTCTTTCTATCCATTAACATGGAAAATCTTTTTATTTTTTGGTGGTTTCTTCAATTATTTTCATCAGTGTTTTATAGTTTTCATTGTAAAGATCTTCTACTTCTTTAGTTAACTTAATTCCAGATATGTAATTTCAATTGTGGCTATTGCAAATGGGACGTTATTTTATTTCCTTTTCAGATTATTCACTGTTGGCATATAGAAATGTAATTGATTTTCACATGTTGATTTTGTATCCTACAACTTTCCTGAATTGATTAGTTTTAATTTTTTTTTTTTCTGGAGTCTTCAGGTTTCCAAGTAAGATCATATCATCTGCAACCAGTATACTTTAACTTCTTCTGTTTGAATAGAATTGCCCTTTATTTCTTTCTCTGATCTAATTGCTCTAATTGGGACTCCCAGTACCATATTTAATAACCATGGTGAAAATGGGCATCCTTGTCATGTTCCAGATCTTAGAGGAAAGGATTTCAATTTTTCCCCATTTAGTATGATACTGAGGGTCTGTCATACATGTCTTTTATTATGCTAAGGAGTGTTCTTTCTATTCCTAGTTTTTTCAGTGCTTTTATTTTAAAAAAATGTTGGACTTTATCAATGGTTTTTCAGCATCAAATAAAATGATCATATAGATTTTGTCCTTCATTCTTCTGGTATGATATATCACATTGATTGATTGATTGATGTAGCACCATCCTTGCAAACCCTGGGGCATATCGCACTTGTTCATGATGAATAATGTTTTAAATGTATTGTTGAACTTTGTCAGTATTTTGCTGAGAAGTTTTGCATCAATATTTATTAGAGATATTGACTTGCACTTTCCTATTTTAGATGTGTCTTTGGTTTTGGTATTAGGATAATATTGCTCTTGCAGAAGGAGTTTGAAAGTATTCTGGTTTCCTCTGTTTTGGGGAACAGTTTGATTAGCATGGTATTAATTCTTTAAATGTTTGGAAGAATTCAGCAGTGAAGCCATCGTGTTCCAGGATTTTCTGTATTGAAAGATTTTTTTATTATGACTTTGATCTCATTGTTTGTGACTTTGACTTCATTGCTTGTTATTGGTGTGTTCAGGTTTTGGATTTCTTTATGTTTCAATCTTGTGTCTGGTAATGTATGCATTTCTTATAGTTTTTCCAATTTATTGGCACATAGATACTTATAGTAGCCACTAAGGATCTTTTGAGTTTCTGCAGTATCAGTTGTACTGTCTCCTTTTTCATCTCTGCTTTTATTTAGTTGGGTCTTCTCTTTTTTTTTCTTAGTCTGACTAGAGGTTTATCAATTATGTTTATTTTTACAAAAAAATAAATTTTTGTTTTATTGATCGTTTGTGTTGTTTTCTTCATTTCAAATTCATTTATTTTTGCCCTGATCTTTATTATTTTTCTTTTACTGATTTTGGTAGTAAATTAGTAATTTTTACTCTTGCTTTTCTAGTTCTTTAAGCTACATCCTTGGGTTATTTGTTTGAAGTTTTTCCTCTTTTTTTGGTGTAGGCCCTTATAGCTAAAAACCCTCATAGCACTGCTTATGCTGAATCCCATAAGTTTTGGCACATTGTTTTTCCATGATTATTTGTTTCAAGAAAATTTTCAGGTTTTTTTTTTGTTAATTTCTTTATTGACCTATTGGTCATTCAGAAGCATATTGTTTAATTTCCATGTGTTTGTATACCTTCCAAAATTCCTGCTTGTTTTATTTTTGTTTTTATTCCATTGTGGTGAGAGAAAGAGCTTGATATTATTTCAGTTTTTTTTGAGTGATTTAAGACCTGTTTTTTGCCTGACATATGGTCTGTCCTTGAGAATGATCCATGTATTGAGGAGAAGAATGTGTATTCTGCAGCCATTGGATGAAATATTCTGTAAATATCTATTAGGTCCATCTGTTCTACAGTGTTGATAAAGTCTAATGTTTCTTTGTTGATTTTCTGCCTGGACAGCTCTGTCTAATGCTGAAAGTAGGGTGCTGCTATCTCCAGCTATTATCATATTGAGGTCTATCATTCTCTTTACTTATAATATTTGCTTAATATATCTGAGTGCTCCGCTGTTGGGTGCCTATATATTTATAATCATTATATCCTGTTGCTGGATTGACCCCTTTAAGAAGATAGAATGACCTTTTTAGTTTCTGCTTACAGTTTTTGTCTTGTAATCTATTCTGTCTGATATATAGCTACTCCTGCTCTGTTTTTAGGTTCTGCTGGCATAGAATAACTTTTTCCATCCCTTTATTTTAAGTCTATGTTTATCTTCATAGGTGCACTGTGTTTCTTGTAGGCAACAGATCACTGCATTATTTTTTAATCCATTCAGCATTTCCTATTTTTTGATCGGAAAGTTCAGTCCATTTATAGTCAATATTATTATTAATAAGTGGAGACTTGCTCTTGCCATTTTGTTATTTGTTTTTTGGGTATTTTGTACCCTTCCTTTTTTCCTTTCTGTCTTCTGTTGGTATAATTGAATTTTATGCTTTTCATTTTTCATGTTACCTTGTGTGTTTTTCAATTTAAGGTCATCATGAGGCTTGCAAATACTATCTGATTACCAATGATTTTAAGTTGATGTCAACTTAACATTGATTGTATTAACAACCAAACATGGGATAAGACAACTAATAAAAACCCTATACTTTAATGTTGCTTCTCTTTATAGATTATTGTACTGTCTATGTCTTGAAAAATTGTTGGAGTTATCATTTTTGATTAGTTCGTTATTTAGTCTTTCTACTTAAAATAAGTGTAGTATACACACCATAATTACAGTGTAATGATATTCTGTGTTTTTCTGGGTGCTTACTATTACCAGTGAGTTTTGTGCCTTCAGATGGTTTCTTCTTGGTCATTGACATCTGTTTCTTTCAGATTCAGTAACTCCCTTAAGGATTTCTTTTAGGACAGTTCTGGTGCTGATAAAATTCCTCAGCTTTGGTGTGTCTGAGAAAATCTGTATTTCTCTTTCATGCTTAAAGTACATTTTCACTGGATACACTATTTTAGGGAAAGTTTTTTCTTACAGCACTTTACCTATATCATGCTACTCTCTCCAAGGCTTCTTCTGAAAAGTCTACTGCTGGACGCACTGGACTCATTATATGCTCTGTGCTTATTTTCTCTTGCTGCTTTTAGGATCCTTTCTTTATCCTTGACTTTTAGGAGTTTCATTATTAGATGCCTTAATGTCTTCTTTGGGTTAAATCTGCTTGATGTATGGCGTTCTTGCACTTGAATGTTAGTATCTATCTCTCTTTAGGCTTGAGGAATTCTCTAATATTATTTCTTTGAATAAATTTTCTACCACTGTCTCTTTCTATCTCTTCTTTAAGGCCAATAACTCTTAGATATGCCATTTTGAGGCCATTTTATATATCTTATAGTTATGCTTGATTTCTTAAATTTGTTTTTCTTTTTACTCCTCTTACTGTGTATTTTCAAATGCCTGTCTTCAAGCCCACTAATTTTTTCTTCTGCTATTAAGAGGCTCTGATGTATTTTTCAGTATACCAATTGCATTTTTCAACTCTAGAATTTCTATTTTATTCTTCCTCGTTATTTCAATATCTTTGTTAAGTTTATCTGATAGAATTCTGAATTCCTTCTTGTGTTATGTTGAATTTCTTTGAGTTTCCTTAAAACAGCTATGTTGAATTCTTTGTCTGAAAGGTCTCATATGGCTGTTTCTCCTGGATTGGTCCCTGATGTCTTATTTAGTTTATTTGGTGAAGTCACGTTTTCCTAAATAATCTTGATCCTGGCAAATATTTGTCAGTTTCCAGGCATTGAAGAGTTAGAGGTTCATTGTAGTCATTGCTGTCTGGGA